AAGTGGGATCTTGATAACCCAGGGGACACTCAGTGCTCGTGTCAGGCGAAGGTCTGAGTGTATAAAGCACCGTGACTGCTCTGGGCAGGCAGGACGCAGGAAGAACACTGTAGTCTCCCTTACAGGAGGAGACAGAAGATGGAAGATGGGAAATCTCGGACGGGAGTGATCACAGAGGCAGGAGTCCCAAAATCTAGACGTTAAGCCCCCTTGGGTCTTGGGCTTCCAGCAGGACAAGCACTCCAGCGATTCTAGGGCAAAGGAACAGCTAAAGATCGGAAAGGCCTGAGCAGGCAGTTCAGCAGCTGTCCGCTCAATGCAGGTAATGGAGTCGGAAGTATACAGTGTATATTATCGTACAAGAATATGTAATCTAGTCAACAATAAAATAAATCCACCAACAGAAATGGAACTAACAGACTTCGAGGTGGCTTGACAAATCTGTTAAATCTATAGCCCAAATCTATAGTATGCATAAAATAGTTGAGTGTAAATCTGTAGAAGCTGTAGAGAAAGTGGCTATAGTAGGTGCAGGAAAGGAGCATATTTCATATTTCAGTGGAAATATGAAAAAGAACCAATGGATCTCAGATCTATAAAGTGATAGATCGGGGCTGGTGTTGTGGTGTAGTGGGTTAAGCCACTGCCTGTGTCGCCAGCATCCCATATGGGCACCGGTTTGAGGTCCGGCTGCTCCACTTCCAATCCTGCTCCTTACTAATGTGCCTAGGAAAGCAGTGGAAGATGGTCCAAGTCCCTGCACCTATGTGGAAGACCTGGATGAAGCTCCTGGCTCCTGGCTTCAGTCTGGCCCAGCCCTGGTCATTGAAGCCATTTGGGGAGTGCACCAGCCTTTCAAATAAATAAAATCTTTAAAAAAAGTGCCACATTAAAATCAAAGTTATTACCTAGGATTAACAGCAGGTGGAATACGAGGTGAAGGTAAGAGACTCGCTCAATCTGAAGCACACAGAGAATAGTTAGTGGAGGGGAAGCCACAGTAAGTCATGGAACAGCACTAAGTAGATAACAGATGCGTGACTGGAGTCCTACAAATGCAGCAAGTGTGACAGATGCAGAAAAGCTCACAGGATGCACTGGGAAAATCAACCACTGCATATTACACTCCTAAAAGCCAAAAGTCAAGGAACAACTTAAACACAGTGCAAAGGAACACATTATAATACAAAAGGAAAGCACAAGAATGAAATTCACTTTGCATCAGATACGATGAAGGCTGAAACACAGCGGGGCAATCTTAGAAATGCTGCAAGAAAAAAAAAAAAAACTACCCCGAATTCTAAATCCAGCAAACACAGTATTAAAAAACGACAGTGAAATAAAGACATTTACAAATTAACAAAATCAATAGAGTTGGCCTCCACCAGAACTGAGCTTCAAAATTAGTATTCAGAGAACTCTTCAGGCTGAGGGAAAATTACTCCAGATGAGAGCACAGATTTGCATGAAGGAATGAAGAGCAGTGGATAAAGCTCACATGGGGTGGATGGAAGACTGTTTTTTGTTTGTTTGTTTAAAGCAAAAATAAAAATGCATGATAAAGCTTATAACATTGAAGTAAAATATATGACTGTACCACAAAGGATTGGACATCGTGTAAATAGAATTACAGTGAGTTAAGGATCTGCATCTCTTAACTTATTGCTGGCACTGCAGGTGGTGGCTTTACATGCTAGAAAAACCACAGTTCCTCAAGAGTGCAGACAAGGGAAATAAACAATAATCAAATAGCAAAATGTCAACTTCACATGTGCACATTACTTTTTTTAAGATTATTGATTTGAGAGGCAGTGTTACAGACAGAGAGAGGGAGAGACACAGAGAAAGATCTGCTACGCCACGGAGCTGGCTGAGAGAGGTCTTCTATCCACTGGTTCATTCCCCAATGGCCAGAGCTGATCCAATACGAAGCTAAGGCCCAGGAGCTTCTTCCAGGTCTCCCATGTGGGTGCAGAGGCTCCTGCACTTGGGCCATCCTCCACTGCTTTCCCAGGCACATTAGCAGGGAGCTGGATCTGAAGTGGAGCAGCCAGGACTCAATATAGCATCCATATGGGGTGTCAGTGCTGCAGGCTAGGGCTCTAACCCAGTGTGCCACAGCACCAGCCCCGAAGATGCACATTCTAACCGGCACCGTGGCTCACTTGGTTAATCCTCCACCTGCGGCACTGGCATCCCATATGGGCACTGGGTTCTGGTCCCGGTTGCTCCTCTTCCAGGCCAGCTCTCTGCTGTGGCCCAGGAAGGCAGTGGAGGATGGCCCAAGTGTTTGGGCCCTGCACTCGCATGGGAAACCAGGAGAAGCACCTGGCTCCTGGCTTCAGATCGGCGTGGCGCACCAGCCATAGCGGCCATTAGGGGAGTGAACCAATGGAAGGAAGACCTTTCTTTGCCTCTCTTTCTCACTGTCTATAACTCTGTCAAATTAAAAAAAAAAAAAAAAAAAAAAAAAGTGCACATTCTAAAGCCAGAGCAGACACAGGCCATCTGGCCCCAGAGCTGATGATCTTAATCACTGCACAGTGCTGTTGCCAAGTGAAGCTTGTCGCTCATAGTTACGTCAGGAAATTGCAGTCTGACAATAACGTAGGAGATCATCATCACATCAATTGAATCCATGACTGAATGGAGATCCCATGAGATTGCAAAGTCCAGCTCTGCTCACAGCCTTTTGGCTGTGAGATGGATCCTTGCAAAGACCTTTGCTATGCTCTGTGACACGTGATGACCCTGCAACACTGGCCACAGTTGACTGCACCGGGGATTTATGCCCTAGTTAGGGGCAGCCGTGCTTTGGGCTGGACACAAGGGAGACCAGCAGCCAGAATGGCCTACTTGAATCCTCTGCCCAATCACGGGGCTGCTTTTGGATCAGACCTACCAGAACCAATGAGACCCTGTTTCAGGGACAGCAGAAGTGGCCGAGGGAGGAGTGGGCGGGATAAGCGGGAGGGCACATGAAGATGACCATACACAGCCACTCCCCGGCAATGGACGCTCACTCTGACAGTGAGGACACAACCCAGCTTCTGAGCTGCAGGTCTGCACCGCCTAACACAGTCATCCGTGCAGCTCTCCAGGAAGCTGTACCCGGGAGGAAGCTCCTGCCCTGGCTCTGTATCCTTACACTCAGCCTCCAGCGTTTACGATTATGGGGGTGTGACTTCCAACCCAAGGGCGCCTGTCCAAAGGTACTTTAAAAAAAAAATCCAGGGGGCCGGCACTGTGGCATAGCGCGTAAAGCCACTGCCAGCAATACCAGCATCCCATATGGGCGCTGGCTTGAGTCCCGGCTGCTCCTCTTCCGATCCCGCTCTCTGCTATGGCCTGGGAAAGCAGTAGAAGATGGCCCAAGTCCTTGGGCCCCTTAACCCGCTTGGGAGACCAGGAAGACACTTCCGGTTCCTGGCTTTGGATCGGCCCAGCTTTAGCTATTGTGGCCATTTGGGGAGTGAACCAGCAGATGGGAGACCTCTCCTTCTTTCTCTGTGTAACTCTTTCAAATAAATAAATCTTTAAAAAAAATTCAGGTCTGCACATGCTGCATATTAAAACAAGTAATTCAATTTAATACCAGGAAATAAAAATGTGCAAGTCACTACATAGTTGTTGAAAATAAGTGGAAAACTGAACGGCTAAGCACCCACAGGCTCTCTCAATGCCTTTGAAAGAGTAAGCATTGTTCAAACCACAATTCCAGAATCCAGGGTGATCTTGGAAGGCATCAGTAGCTATGCGGATTTCCACAGGCTCTTTATGTCAAAGCAAAGTATCTTTCCACCAATACGGTTCATTTCAAAAGATACCTCAATTAATGGTTTTGCAATTTCCTCTGCGTGTGAATCTTCTCGTCAGCTGAGCCACGACAGCCTGATCTCAAATCAATCTCAGGACCTGTGTAAACTCATAAGCTTTCAACTACTGTGACTTAGGAAAATCAATTCACAAGTCCCCCATTAAGTAACAATAATCACTTTGGTTTCCATGGCATGGTCTTTTTCAAAGCTTACACTTCCCAGTTGTAATTACTTTTAAGTTTAATGTTCAGATCTTTGCATTATACAATTTTGTTTAAGATTTTATTTATTTGAAAGAGTTAGAGAGAGGCAGAGACAGAGAGAGGTCTTCCATCTGCTGGTTCACTCCCCAGATGGCCCCAACGATACAGAGCTTCCTCTGGGACTCCCACGTGGGTGCAGGGGCCCAAGGACTTGGGCCATCTTCTACTGCTTTCCCAGGCCACAGCAGAGCTGGATTGGAAGTGGAGCAGCTAGGACTAGAACCAGCGCCCATATGGGATGCTGGCATTTCAGGCCAGGGCTTTAACCCGCTGTGCCACAGTGCCAGTCCTGCATTATACAATTCTTAATGCTTCTGGACAAGTCAGTAAAACAACTTTGTACCATTTAGGTAAAGTTGCCCATGCATTTCCCTATTATCTCACTGTTCTGAGAAATCTCTGAATGAGAGTCTTTGCCCACAAGTTGGTTCATTGCTTTTCCTTTGGACTTTCAAATAGTACATCTGTGTATCCTGCAAACATGCAAGCTCTTTGGGGTTTAGAGACTGGGAGTATTGGATCCTATTGAATACTGTGCATCCATTCATACTTAGTGCCATCTTCGAGGTACTCAGAGAAAGGGGCATTGGGCAAGATGGGACCTGTGTGTGCTTACTACAGGATCCCATCGTAGTCATGCAAACGAAAACCAAGATGAAGTGTTTCCTCTTGCACAAGTGAAATGACACCATGTATTGTGTATGTGATGTTGTGGAAAAACAGAGCACGACTCACTGTGTTAGCTGTACAATGAAAAGTTCTAGCAAATAACTTGGCATACAGTAGCCAATAGTGCATCTACTCCAAATGCTCCAGCCTTACACACTGCCCAACAAACACGCTGATAAACTTCAATGAGACCCATGAGGAACATCTGAGGCTAAAGAATACACTGCTTTTAATACATAATGTGATGGCATGCATTTTAGTAAATCTTTTTATTTGGGCCAAACGTTAGTATTTTAAGATTATATACAGTGCTATCACATATTTTCAATCACAGGACATTGGCAGATTTGGATTAAATTTCAACCCAGAGATTAAATTCCTGAATTTTATAAATAACACTGGAAAATGGCATATTAAGAGAGGCTGAGCAACCATGTGATATGGAGACGACTGCTACTGACAGCAATTCCACATGGCTCATGCAACCTCCATTCAAATGTCTAGATGAGAAATTAGCAGAGGCACATTCAGGAGACTGTCATTTTTCCTGTGCTCATCTTAGAAAGGACTGACTGAAGATAATCAGTGTGCAGGTACTGTACGTACACAATTTACTGACAAATCTTACGACATCCCAGTATATATGGACACAAACATTCATTTGTCTGTTCTGACATGCATACGTACATACATATTAAGTGGAGCTTGAAAACAATAAAGGATAACTGCAGAAGTAGAAAATGTGTTATGAACTTTCTTTCAATTACATAAAGTTTGACATCTTAAAAAACAGAGCAAATAAGGCAAAAACTTATAGAACGTTACCACACATTATACAAAATGGCAAATACACATCAGCAAACACACTGTCAGTGTCCACACAAAATAGTCACTTACATGTAACAGATAGACATTAACTTTTCAAGAAAAGAGGTTTCAGATACAAATGCCAGTGTTTATTAAGACAGTACAGTATTACCAAAAGATAAATACTAATCTATAAATAATGTATCTATTGCATTCTAAATATATATTTTATCTCCATGTATAATTTAACTAAATCTCCATTTATTAAATATTAAATTTCACAGTAAATTGTTACTTTCTAACCTTTCACACTTTATAACAGTGTTAAGTTTTTGCTATTTCAAAGAAATAACCTACAGTCTCCCAGAAGAATACTTTTTAATACTGGCAGTCTTCTTCAATGCAGAAAATAAATATCTTTTCCTGTCAGATAGCTCAAAATTAAAAACTTCACACCATGCTGTTTTTCTGAATGAGAGGTTTGTTTATTATTTGAAAGTCAGAGGGACAGAGGAGACAGATACATACACACACACATTTGAGAGAGAGAGAGGGAGAGGGAGGGAGGGATGGAGGGAGAGGGAGAGAGATCTTACATTTGCTTATTTACTTCCCAAATAGCTACAACAGCCAGAGCTAGGTCAGTGAAGCCAAGAGCCAGGAACTCCATCTGGTCTCCCAGGTGTGTGACAGGAACTCAAGTTCTTAAGCCATCCTCTGCTGCTTCCCGGGCACATCAGCAGGGAGCTGGATCAGAAGCGAAGCAGCCAGGACTCGAATCAGCAGTCCGTGAATGAGATGTGGGTATCCCAAGTGCGGCGCTGTGCCACAACGCCCTCCCCTGCACATCAAGCCGTTACTCAGTATCTTCTTCTCCTCTTGGGCACGGTGAACTCTAAAGACATCAAATGAAGAAGAATGACGCATCCATTAAAAAAAATAACTGACACTTACATGATAGTATGCATTCAAACTACATAGAAATTTAACTGATATAACACACGGGTATGCTCTCACAGCAAAATTCCAGTAAGAATTTTAGAAACTGACATATTCATTTATGAAGCATCTTCAATAATTTCATGGAAAATGTGAATTAAAAGACTTTATTTATTGGAGGGGCAGAGACAGAGAGACATACAGAGAGAGTGCCCATGTGCACTAAACAAGAGATTAGGTCAGCCTGAAGCCAGGACCTGGGAACTCCATTCAGGTTTCCCACGTGGGTGGCGGGAACCCAATCACTTGAGCCAACTTATCTTTTAACTCTACTTTTCCGTGAATGTTTTAATGTCCTCTCATGTTTAATTTTTTCCTTGAAAATGATGTGTAGTTTAATACTTGCTATCTCCACTGGGATAGTAAGATCTCAATCTTACAGATGTGGCAATCTATTGAATCAGTGATCTCACGCATCCTAAATCCTGCTTACTAACTTATTTATTTGACAGATAGAGTTAGACACAGAGAGAGACAGAGAAAGGTCTTCCTTCCGTTGGTTCAGCCCCCAAATGGCTGCAATGGCCAGTGCGGTGCCAATCCAAAGCCAGGAGCCAGGTGCTTCCTTCTGGTCTCCCATGAGGGTGCAGGGGCCCAAAGACTTGGGCCATCCTCCACTGCCTTCCCGGGCCACAGCAGAGAGCTGGCCTGGAAGAGGAGCAACCGGAACTAGAACCCGGCGCCCACATGGGATGCTGGCACCGGAGGCGGAGGATTAACCAAGTGAGCCATGGTGCTGGCCCCCTGCTTACTAACTTATGAGGTTGTTTCACTAGGTGCACACTCCCTGGAGCTGGCATGGACCCACTATGCCAGACCGGAAAAGCATCTAGGCCAGTGCTAAGAGACAGAAATGAGGATGTCAAGTTCATTCCGATGAAACCTGAAAATGTTATCCAAAGTACGAGTACCACATATCTGTCTGGCTACCAGAGCAGTGCAAAGTCCAACACCCAAATAGCTGTCCCCTAGAGAGAGCTGTGAACCTAAAGGTCACTGATCATCAAAGAAGGAAATGCAAGTAAAAACCATGAAATCCATGAGAAGAAATATACCCTTCCAACAAGAAACCCAGGGGAACGCAGGAACAGGGAAAGATTTCAGAAGGAAAAGAAAGACTCCTGGAAGAGAGTGCTGGGCAGGGACCATCCGCACAGAGGGAGGGACTGCTCTCTCTGAAGAGATGACGCTGCACAACCCCTCGTGGGAATCCACTCCCATTCACTCGCGGCTCTGTTCACGGGAAGTGTCCTCACTGATGGTGCCATCCACACAGGAAGTCCCCCGTGAGCCAAGAGCACAGGATCACAGGGACCCGGGACAGCCGCCGGGCTCACACGGGGCTCAGCCAGCCTGCTCCATGGGGCAGGCTTCCCTGAAGTTCCCTCTGTACCTTGTTCACTGCAGCTTCCATTCTCCTCCTCTTCTTTAATGACAGGCATGCTCAGACGTAAAGACTTCTCCTCCTTACGTGTGCTCCGCTCATGGCCTGGAAATGATTTAAAATAGTTGGAAAATGATTTTATATGAAAACAGAATATTAACTTTTGAGAAAACATTTACACAAATAGTGTCATAATCACAACATAAAAATTGGAAATTTAGACTAAAAATTAAAATTGATGGTAAATAGAAATATGCATTTAGAATACATGTCTTTTAAAATTTTCAAATATTTGTATCTTTGCTTGAAAACAGTCTCAAATTCTACTGAAATAAACAGAGAAAAAGAGAAGGAACAAAATTAGCCAAATACAGACAACGAATTCAACCTTCACCACATACAATAGGGGTTATAACTGTGGACATCAGGAAATAACGTGTGTTACTTCAACTTTATCCAACTAAATAACCATAAATGCAATTTTAAAGTTGAACATCCTGGGTTTTTTTTTTGATTACAGGTAACTTTATTTTTTTTAAATTAACAGGCAGAGTTAGACAGTGAGAGAAAGAGAGAAAGGTCTTCCTTCTGTTGGTTCACTGCCCTAATGGCCACTACGGCCAGCGCACCGCACCGATCCGAAGCCAGGAGCCAGGTGCTTCCTCCTGGTCTCCCATGCCAGTGCAGGGCCCAAGCACTTGGGCCATCCTCCACTGCCTTCCTGGGCTACAGCAGAGAGCTGGACTGGAAGAGGAGCAACCGGGACAGAATCCGGCGCCCCAACTGGGACTAGAACCCAGGGTGCAGGCACTACAGGCAACTTTCTTTTGTCACCACATCTCTATGAGATAAATTTTTCTAGTCATAATTTGCCATTGACTTTGCATTTCCAAAAACACAGGGTTTTCTATATCCACTTCTGTTGCCTAGAGAAATACCAGTCAAAGTATCAAATACCACTGACTTATGGGTGCATTTGGCACAACATCCTGAATGCAACCCCCATGCACACTCACTGTAGTCTTTATGATGTGTCTTTCTTCTCTATAACACATTTGCCACCGATCTGTGTGTTAATTTGTGTCTTTCTGGTCTACCTCTGTCTGCTGGTATGTAAGTGTTACAAGGACAGATTCTGGTTCATTTCCATGATGGATCACAGTATATAAAATAGCCTGACATACAGTGGGGCCTCAACAAATATTTACTAAATAACCAGATATTGATTCAACTATTTTAAAACACAATCTTCATAGAATAGATGTGCTAACAGGTACCTGTCAACACAGGAGACTTAAGTTTTTCTTAAGTTCACACTTTCTGACTTATGTATGTTGGAATCATCACGGGGTAACAGATTTTATGAATGAATAAAATGCCAAAAATAGAGATGAATAGTAAGATGCGCCTATCTTTTCAGACAGTAGCTCCAAAATTATTTTCCAGAACTCTTTTCCAGAGCAAAGTCAGGATTCAGGAGCCCAAATGGGTCTCCCACGTGGGAGCAAGGGCCCATGAATTTGGGCCATCTTCTGCTGCTCTTCCAGACACATCAGCAGGGAGCTGGATCAGAAGCAGAGCAGCAAGGACTTGAACTGGCATCCATATGGGATGCTGGCACCACAGACAGCAGTGTTTACCAGCTATGCCACAGGGCCGATCCCTCTATTTCCTCTTTATTTCCATCAATACTTAATCAGCTTGTTAATTTACACAAATAACCATTGCTTTTATTTTTAAAACTATGAATGCACTGACTCTATAGAATAATTTGGGAATAATCGACAGCTTAATATTCGGTCTTCCAATCAAGAAGACTATGTCTCTGCATTTTTAGGTCTCTGATTTCTTTCATTATTTTATAGTTTTTGGCATACAGATTCTGCACATTTTACCTACATACCAAAATGATTTGCAGTTTTGGTGTTACTGTACTTTTTTTTTTTTTAAGATTTCTCAATTTTCAGTTGTTCATTGTTACTATAGAGAAATGTTAATCCTGTACTTTTTTTCATTAAAGATTTATTTATTTATTTGAAAAGCAGTTACAGAGAGGCAGAGAGAAAGAAAGAGGTCTTCCATCTGCTGGTTCACTCCCCAAATGGCCATTCTTTTTTTTTAAACTTTTATTTAGTAAATATAAACTTCCAAAGTACAGTTTATGGATTACAATGGCCTTCTCCCCCACAAACTTCCCTCCCACCTCCCGCTCCCTCTCCTATCCCATTCACATCAAGATTCATTTTCAATTATCTTTATATACAGAAGATCAATTTAGTATATATTAAGTAAAGATTTCATCAGTTTGCACTCACACAGAACATAAAGTGTAAAATACTGTTTCAGTACTAGTTATAGCATTAATTCACATTGAACAACACATTAAGGACAGAGATCCTACATGAGGAGTAAGTGCACAGTGACTCCTGTTGTTGACTTAACAATTTGACACTCTTGTTTATGGTGTCAGTAATCTCCCTAGGCTCTAGTAATGAGTTGCCAAGGCTATGGAAGCCTTTTCAGTTCACTGACTTTGATCTTATTTAGACAAGGTCATAGTCAAAGTGGAAGTTCTCTCCTCCCTTCAGAGAAAGGTACCTCCTTCTTTGATGGCAAATGGCCATTCTTAACGATCTGAAGCCAGGAGCCAGGAGCTTCTTCCAGGTCTCCCATATGCGTGCAGGGGCCCAAGAACTTGGGCCATCTTCTGCTTTCCCAGGCCACAGCAGAGAGCTGGATCAGAAGTGGAGCAGCCGGGACTTGAACCAGCACCCATAAGGGATGCCAGATTGCAGGTGATGCCTTCACCTGCTACACCACAGTGCTGGCCCCAACCCTGTACCTGCTGACCTTGCTAAATTCAATTATTAGTTCTGCTAGCTCTTTTGTAGAATTTGGGGAATTTTCTATGAGTAATTTCATTGGAAAACAGAGTATTGTTTCTTCCTTTCCAATCTGAACATTAATTTCTCCTTTGCTTGCCTTACTCTACTGGAGGCTAACAGCTCCAGTGTAACCTTTATTAGAAGTAATGAGACTACATTCTTAGTTTTACGGGAAAAGCACTGTTCCACCATTGAGTGTGATGGTAGCTGTGGTTTATCACACATGTCCTTGATGAGGATGAGAAAAGTTCCTGTCTAATTTGTTGTTGTTTTTTTTTTAATCATACTGGATTTTTTCAAGTATTCTGTCTACAGCTCGAGATGATTATTTGTTCTTTACTCCGTCAAGATGATGAATCACATTGCTTTAGTTTCTTATTTTAAACCAGCCTATACACCTGTGACAAATTCTGGTTGCTCATAATATACTTTCCATTTAAATGTACTGTTAAATTCAATTTGAAATATTTACTAAAGATTTTTGCAGGTATATTCATGGGGATATTGATCTTTAGTTTTCTTTTTTGATAATGTCAATCAGCTAGAAAGTATTCTCACTTATATTTTCTGGAGGAATCTATATAGGATTTCTAATTTCCCTTCTTAAACATTTGGTAAAGCCTTTAGGGAGTTCATTTTACATAGCAGACATTAGTTTATTTCACTTTGTTTGTCTTAAACTTATGTTGGTTAAGAAATTTACCCATTTTATTTAGCTATCCAGTACTGGCATATTTATTCTTTATTTTTCCTTATTAATCTCTGAATCTGTGTAAAGCCTATAGTGATACATCTTTCTTACCAAATTGTGATAGTTTTCCAGCAAATTCTCTTTAAGTATTTTTTAGGCATGAAATGAGTCCTCGCCTCTCACAATAATTTCATAGCCCCTCCATCATATCACATCTCACTCCATTCTTCTGATTATGCTGATTAGCTTTTCAGGAGCAATTTTTTTTAAGATTGTTTTTAAAAAATGTATTTGAATGGCAGAGTTGTAGAGAGTAAGAGAGAGATCTTCTATCTGTTGGTTCATTCCCCAGATGGCTGCAATGTCCAAGGTTGGACCAAGTCGAAACCAGGAGCTGCATCTGGGTCTCCTACGTGGGTGGCAGGGGCCCAAGTACTTGGGCCATCCTCTGTTGCTTTCCTAGGCCTTGAAAATAGAACAGCTGGGACTCGAACCAGTGCCCCTGTGGGAGTCTGTAGTCGCAGCCAACATATTTACCTGCTATGCCACAACTATCAGCTCCCCTCAAGAGCAATTTTAAACACACACATGTACACACAGCTTCAAAATTAAAGAAATAATCTATTTCTTTTATGTAGGGCCGGGCTTGACAAACTATGGCCTCACCAACTGGAGCACAGCTACACTCTGTGTTTCTGCATTGTTTATAACCATGATCTCACTACAACAGTAGAGCAGTTGTCAAGACACCGCGTGGCCCACAAAGCCCACAAAGCTTACTATGTGTCCTGCTACAGAAACAGCTCGATGATCCGATTCTGAGGACTTTGTCCTTTTTAAAATCAAGCGTGTAAGCTGATCCTATGAAATGTCACCTCTGGTGATTATTTAAATGAATTCCCATTTCCTGCTTGATGCTGCTTATATGGTAAACTATATTACCACATTCCAAATAATTGCACCATGCTTGCATCCTGGAATGAGTGCACTCAATCAGGCTGTCTTGCTTTATGGGGTTCTTTTTGACAATATAAGAGCTGGAATGATTTCGGAAATACTTATAAGTGAGTTTAGTCTAACAAGTTTCTTCAAAATTACTGCTAGCTTTGCAAAATGTAAAAATTGTTCTTTTAGTGTCTCTCTTGAGCACCCTTAACGACTATCGCATCTCCTCCTCTGAATTTGCAACGCACTTGAAGGCTCTGCTACAGCACTTAGTCATATCTGGCGTATATTAAAGGGATTCCATTCCCCTCCCCCACTCAATATAGGGAAACACGTGTTCCAAGACTGTAGCTGATCTCCACATACTCCTGCAGTGGCTGGGAATTTGTTTTGTATTAGGTGTTAAACGATTACTAATGTTTCTAATACTGTTTTTCACCTAACCTTGTTAGCCAAATTCTAATTCTATGCACGATTTATACTTCTTACAGAATTTATAAAAGTACAACTATTGAAATATATAGTCATTCCTTTAAGAACCAAATAGCAGGAGCCAGTCGCCTGCAGTGCTGGCATCCCATATGGGTGCTGGTTCGAGACCTGGCTGCTCCACTTCTGATCCAGCTCTCTGCTATGGCCTGGGACAGCAGTAGAAAGTTGGCCCAAGTCTCTGGGCCCCTACACCCAAGTGGGAGACCTGGAAGAAGCTCCTGGCTCCTGGCTTCGGATCGGCTCAACTCCGGCCGTTGTGGCCAATTGGGGAGTGAACCAGAGGATGGAAGACCTCTCTCTCTCTCTGCCTCTCCTCTGTGTAACTCTTTCAAGTAAAAATAAATAAATTAAAAAAAAAAAAAAAAAAGAACCAAATAGCAAAGGTAGTTTTATAGGTACAATGTTTCAAAAAAGCAGGGATACCTTAATTAATCCAGATAAGGAAAAATATGATTGATACAATGCATTATTTACCACACACTGCTCTATACATAAGCTTGATTCGTACACAAAACTAATAATTATACTGGATAATTCTAGATAAATTCTGCAATGATTGAGCTGTGTCACTCTGGACAAGTTATTTAATCTGTATGGGCCTAAATGTCATCACTCATGAAAGGAATGTGAAATGACTCTAAAGGTCACTTTCAGCAACAAGAGTCCAGAATCTAAGAGAAACTTAATTTTGATATTAAATCTCACCATATTCTCAAACAAGTCTGTAATCCTTAAGAAAGCAATCAGGATGAGGGGAACTGACACTAAGACCCATTCTCCCAGGCTGAGTCTTAGGAAGACTATAAAAGCTTACCTTTGTTCCTGGAGGGCGCCTTCTTTCCTGCTGATTTCAATGTCTGTCTGCTTCTTTTCTTCTTAGCTGCTTGGGTCTGTCCTGGATTTGATGCAGAATCGGAGTCAGAAGAGTCGAGTTTCACCTGACGATGCCTCCTTGACTTCGATGCCTTCAGAGTTAGAAATTCAATTGACCACAGGGAATTACAAGATGAATCCAATGGGTACATAATGCAGAGAGAAGCAAAACAGGAAAGGATTTACAGTATTTTGGTAAATCTGTATCACTGCAAATGGAACTCTGTTTTAGAACTGTTTAAACAGGAGAGTACTTCAGAAATCTGTGGAAAGTGGAATTGAGAGACAAGCTTAGGTGCTGCTGTTGTAGTGCAGCTGGTTAAGCCATTGCCTGCGAAGCCAGCATGCCTGAAGGTGCTGGGTCAAGTCTTGGCTGCTCCACTTCTAATTCAGCTTCCTGCTAATGTGCTGGGAAAGCAATGGAAGATGGCCCAAGGGCATGGCCCCTGCACTCATGTGGGAGACCTGGATGCAGTTCCAGGCTCCTGGTTTTGGCCTGGCCCAGCCCTGTCTGTCACTGTCATTTGGGAAGTGAACCAGTGGATGGAAGACCTCTCTCTTTGTAACTGTCTTTCAAATAAATTAATTTGAAAATAAAAGAGAGAAAGAGAGAGAAGTTTAATTTTGTATAAATTTTTTGAATTCCAGGCAAGTTTCTCATACATATTTTCCATTAACTTTTTGAACACCCCTCATATTAAAAAGGAAAAATTCTCTTTCCATTGAAACTTAAGCCTGGAACATTTAAGATGGGAGCTGTCATAAATGGCCCTTTAAGGCGATGAAAACAACCTAATCGGTGAGAAGTAGAAGGACAGTCCTCAAGATGCTGTGTCTGAGGCCAGGTAGCAAAGGAGGGTTTAGACAGAGCAGGCAATGCATTATCCAAAGCAAAGAGCTGCAGTTAATGCCATGTAAGTGGTACAGTGTTAACAATTCTTGAAAAGCAACCGCTTATTACATGTTAACTGTACTTCAATAAAGGCAAAACTCACAACAATGCAATGACACACAATTTATAGGTTATAATTTAATCCTTTAAATGATTAAAAGACTTCATAAAATCAAGACTATATTAGGGGCCAGCGCTGTGGCATAGTGGGTTAAGCCTGTGCCTGTGGCGCCGGCATCCCATATAGGTGCCGGTTCAAGTTCCGGTTGCTCCTCTTCTGATCTAGCTCTTTGCTATGGCCTGGGAAAGCAGTGGAAGATGGCCCAAGCACTTGGACCCCTGCACCTGCGTGGGAGAAGTTCCTGACTCCTGGCTTCAGATTGGCCTAGCTCTGGCAGTTGTGGCCATCTGGGGAGTAAACCAGCAGATGGAAGATCTCTGTGTCTCTGCCTCTGCCTCTCTGTAACTCTGCCTTTCAAATTAACAAATAAATATTAAAAAACAAACAAACAAAAACCTCAACTACACAAGAAAATGTTTCATTTAAAAAAAAAAAAAGAAAGAAAAAGAAACAAAAAAATTCCTGAGAACCAGAGGATTTCAGGAAATTCACTAGAAGTGCCAAGCTAATGAGCAAAAATGGCATCAAAATTTCAGACAAATACCAGAGACAACAGCAAAAACAGAAAAGCTGCAAATGGATGCATTACAATGTTTGGAACAAAGGCGAGGGACATAGCAAAGAGGGGGATGGCTGGGATATATGCACTCTATGGTATTTGATTTTTAGGACTACATAGATGTATGACTTTGAAGAAAAACTAAAATGTGACTAAAAGCATCCAGAGAATTTCCAAAGTACCTTACTGAAGAAATAACTTACCTGAACAACAAACGAAAAGGCCTTGGATTTTATTTTTGCTAATGATTCTGCCCTTTCACATCTCTGGAAGTAAAATAAACAGAAAGAAAAAAGGTAAGTCATGCAAACCTTAGATGAAATTATGAATACTAAAGTATTTATTATCAGAAGTAAGATCTGCAACAGAAGGCAGGGAAAAGAAACACTTCTTGGACACAGACAATATTCTCTGGCAGACACAGCACCTGCTATGACATCACCCCTGTAGCTCCTGGAGATTTACACTACCCAAGCTTCAGAATTTTTCCTGATATTTATTGTAATACTGCACAGGGTCATTCAGCTTAGCACGCAGAATCACAGCTACACAGACCAGTGCCCTGTAAGCAAGCACACAGTGAAGTTTTCTGACCTCTGTCTCTTGTGAACGCTCCTCCCTTGTTTCTTCTCCATCTTTAGGTTTCGGGGGTAGATTCTGAAAGAGCAAAAATGTTATTTAAATATACACATATATGCACATATTCCATTAACTGCAAATCAATTTCAGAACAGTGAGGATCAGTTACTTTTAATTACTGAAAAGCATGCTACCCATTTTTATTGCAAGGTTCACCGCTGACATTTGGATCACAGCTAACTCAGCAATAACGTATCTGAAACCTCCTAACTAATGAGAGACAGCATGCACTACATGTGGCACTAAAGAAACTGGTTCATTTTCCTTTCTTTCAGGTTTTCAGAGGTTTTAGTCATGCCCAATGGAGACAGTTTATCTATTAAAGAAAATGCAGGTTTTTACATTGAAAGCCTAGATCATTTGTGTAACCTATTAGTACACTTAAGGAATTATGATGTTCTTTTTTTTTTCTTTTTTCTTTTTTTTTTTTTTTTGACAGGCAGAGTGGACAGTGAGAGAGAGAGACAGAGAGAAAAGTCTTCCTTTTGCTGTTGGTTCACCCTCCAATGGCTGCCGCAGCCGGCGCGCTGCGGTGGGCGCAGAATTATGATGTTCCAAAATGTACTCTTATTTAAATAGACTATTAATTATCAAATCACTTCCTTGTTCCCAAGACCTGTCATCACCTATTGCTTTTCTTGTTAATTGTTCCTAAAATTAAGTTTTGAGCCAGTGTCCTTTATATATACAGGAGAGCCAAAAAGTGGCAACACATCTTTCTGAAAGATAATATATACTGGCTTCTGAGCACTTGGGAAAACATTAACACATTATCAGACAGAGTAAGTACTCGAAAACTGCTTATCTTTTGCTTTTATTTTTTCCAACTAGCATTTACTAACATAAGATGGTGCGGAAATTCAGCAAGGCCGTCTCCGGCTGAAAAGGCTAACGTGGAGGACGGGCAGGCTCTCCTGAGTACACCTGAATCAGAAAACTAAACTGAAAAGTCGTGTTGAGGAGACTTGGAAATGAACAAACCACAGCAGGCAGGGACTCTGGGAACACAGAAACACATGCCCCGTCATATGAGAGAGACCACAGGCAGGAGAGTAGGACCAGTGTCACCAGCCCTCCTGCTTTGTAAGAGAAGTACTGGTAATTAATTCGAAATTTTTAAATGGTAGATCAACACTGTGCCAAACACATCCTAGCCCAAAGACTGCCAGAGTGCAACCTCAGGAGGATGCTAAGTTGCACAGGTTTTAAAAAATCTGTGGTATATTATTATTTCTCTTTAAAAATAGAGGGAAGAGTATTTCACCTGGTGGTTAAGACGCCTGCATCCCACACTGAAGAGCCCGGCCAGTTCTGCCTTTGCAGGCATTTGGGGGTGTGAACCAGTGGGCAGGAGCACTCTGTCTCTCATATAACTATTTTACAAAATCCACGTGTACTCACTCCACTTAGAAGGCTCTATGCCGTCATATAGCTGGTGAGGGGCAAAACCTCCAACTTTTAGCTCCCCCGAACATGCTTTCTAAAGTGGCCGCTAAACAATGCTGTCTGCAACGTGACCACCCACGGCCTCACACTAGCGCACAGTACAAGGGGAGGCATCAAGCAACGCAGCTGCTTACCTTCCTGTCTTCCTGCCACTGTTGATGCTCCAAAACTATGTTCTTAATCGTGTCAAAAAAATCATCCTTTATCAAGCTGATGGCTTTTTCTTGCAGGGAGTTATCAGCTAAAATCTTACGTTTCATCTTCTGATAATGATCATGAACATTCAGCATTTCCTAATGTGAAAAGATGAGTCCTTTATTTCAACTTTTAAGGAGAAAAAGGTAAAGTCAATGCAGAATCCAATCACCTTCCTAAGTGGCTGTGAGCTGACAGGGAATGCTGCTCTACCGTGTACTGAAAACAATAAAATTGTGCAAGAAAAGGCACACAACTGTATGTGTGTGTGTGTGTGTGTGTGTGTGTGTGTATATATATATATATATATTTTAGCTGTAAGCTTTTATTTGGTGAGAGAAATACATAGGCGAGTGAGGGCCCTATCTAAAAGAGAGAGGGAAATCTCGATTCATACTGAGTACCATGAGCCAGCCACGTGGTGGAACATGTATGCCAGGACGCATGGAGCAGGTGGTCCAAAAGCCACATGCCCCGAAGGCACAGGACAGCAAAATTTTTTTTAAGTACAACTGTAGTAATAAAGGACTGCTTTCCAAAGGTAATTCACTGAATTCAACTCAACATACATTAACTCAGATACACTACTATGGAGAAGTACCAGGTTAGCTTAACACAGATTGCACTCCAGGATATAACAAAAATCATTACACTATAACATACCATTAAATATCATTACTGAACATTTTTACATCAAATTGTCACATCAAAAATATTTACATAGCTCTCTATGCTGTGCTGGAGATTCTAATAAAATAACTCATCCAACCCTCCATGGACACCCCAAAGCCTATATGCCTGTCACCATAAGTTCCATCATTACATGAGTAATAAGATTCAGGATGAAAAGAAATAGAAGGTGGTTTATAACACCATTTGTGGCATCACCTAGTGAACAGACCTTCCTCCAGCAGACATGTCCAGGCAAAAGGGCAATCAGCTGTGTGGGGAGAAAAACAGCATGCTGCAGAGCTAAGAAGCCACAGATCTGCACCGGGATCAGGCTCTAAGGCAAGCACAGAAAGGCTGTCACCTCCATCACAGAGGGCCACTGCACCCTGTGAGTCATCCCCAAGTTAGACTACTCAGTTCGTTTCTAGTAGATTTCGATGGCACTGACACGTCTGAAACTATCAGAAATTGCTCAGTAGTGGTCAATGCTCAAACATGCAGGACCTGCTAGGAGAGAACAGCATCCAAACAGGGAGAGGCCCTACTCCTAACAAGTGCTGAGCTGCTATTTCACTACAGGCCGTACAACATGGGAAGGATCACCAGCTGGGCCTGGTTCTGAGCCTGAGTTCTGTCCCTTGCTAGATGAGAATCATGTTCCACATCTCTATAAAATGAAGCAATGTTACAAAATCCCCTGCCTACACAGGTGAAATGTTGTAGCATGTTACAGAATTAAAAGAAAGAGACATGAAAGTGCATGGACTTTGGATCTGACAGAGGTGGACACTTAAGTCCAGTGTCTGTACCTTATCTGATGCAAACTACTTAACTTTTCTGAAAGTCCATTTCCTTGCATTTAAAATAGGGAAAATAGCACCTCTATAGAATTAGTATGGAATATGTTACTCTTAAGGTAACATATTAAAAAAATCTAGCATAATTTCTGGCACACAGAGAGTGCTCAACACATAAAGACCATTATTGTAATTGTATAAATGGAGGAGAGCTGGATTCTGTTTCTGGCTGCTGGCTTTGGCCTGGGTAGTCCCAGTTGTTGGGAGGGTATTTGGAGAGTTAAGCAGCATATGGAAAAGTTCTGTCTGCCTCTTTCAAATAAATAAATAAACATTCAAAAAAAAAAAAAAAAAAGAGAGAGAGACATATAGAAATAAAGTGATTTTCTCAAGGTCATATTTAAACAGCAGGGCTAAATCAGAATTCAGATGTTTTGGTTCAATAGCTTATTCTTACAACACGGTTCTGCAGATCTGTGCTAAGACACTAGTCGGGTGGGGAACATCCAGCCCACAGGTCATAAAAGGGAAAGCATTTAATCTGGCCCTGCCAAGGCAACCATAGGTAGGACTGGAAATTGAGATTTATAGCAGGCTAATTTTTGAGTTGATAATTTTGTATGGCTCATGAATGATGTTATAAAAATGCAAATGGCCACTTGCAGAGAAAAAGCTCCCAACTCCTGCAAGCCAGAATGACTCACACAGGCCCTCCAGGCTAGAAGCTCACGAGCATTTGGCATTTCACAGCCCGATCCTTCTGACCCTCCCCTCCAATCACCCTATGAAAGCGTCTTTGGTGCATTACCCCAGCACTGTTTCCTGAAACCGCCCATAAATGATAAAGTATTAGAAGGTATGTTGAAAGACTATTAATAAACATTCTCCTACCAAATTAGTCAACAATCAAAAATTACAACGAAGTTCATCTTTTTCATCACAAGAACGTGGGGGAGAGTAAGATCTTGGGAGCAGGTGCTTTAGCCAGCAGTTCAGATGCTCGTGGGCCGTTCCAGTGCCTGGGTTCAACTCCCTGCTCCAGCCTCAACCAACGCACCCCTGGGAGGCAACTCTGATGGCTCAAGTATTTGGGATCTTGCCAATCATGTGGAAGACCTGGATTGCATTTCTGGCTCCTGGCTCTGGCCCTGGCTCAGCCTTGGCCACTGAGGGCACTTGAGAGAATCAGCTGATGGGCACACACTCTCTGCCTTTCACATAAATAAAAAAATAAATATTTTTAGAAAATTCAAGATCTCTTGTTCTAGAACACCCTTGGCCCTGTCTGCATGATCCACATCCTGATTAACTTCTTGGGAAATCCTTACTGTACCCTGCAGCCTCCCTCCTCTTCTCCTCACTGGCTGTTCCAAGCTTTCTCAACCCTCAGTACCCTGAAGCCCAAGGTCCTCTCTTGAAGTGCACACTACTGGGCCTACTGTATGTCTTCTGTTTCTCATCCTCACAAAGAATTCTAAGAACCCTTTCTCACCTGCTTCACTCAGGTTTCAAGGAAGAAATACGCCTTTTGTCCAAGGCTAATCTCTCCACTGGGGTACTGATCTTGCACCCTCCAACCTCCACAGCAGGAACCCTGATCCCTCCAACTAGCCTAAACATATACCTTACACCGTGTCTCTCTAATCTCTAAAACTTCTCGGTGACTGTCTCTCTCTCTGAAAATTATTTCTATTATGTAAAGCATTTTTATTACTTTCATTCCATCTCCTCACTAAGCTGCTAGAGGACAAAGACCTTAGTTTTCTTTCTTTCTTTTTTTAAGACTTTATTTCAAAAGAGTTACAGAGAGCAGGCCAGACAGAGAGATCTTCCATTCACTGGTTCACTCCCCAGAAGGCCGCAAAGGCCAGGAGCTTCATTTGGGTCTCCCATGTGGGTAGCAGAGGCCCAAGCACTCAGGACATATTCTGCTGCTTTTCCCAGGCCATTAGCAAAAGCTAGGTGGGAAGTGGAGCAGAAGGGACATGAACCAGTGCTGTATGGGATGCCTGCGTAGCAGAAGGTGGCTTTACCTACTATGTCACAATACCGACCCCTTTAGTTTTTGTTCTATTTCAGATCTTCAGTGAATGATAAATTTCTAACCCCCATCTCAGCCAAGACCACACAGGTTCTGCCCAATAACCAGGCACTACAGAAGTGAATGTGCACCTTAGCTTCATTATTTTCTAATCTCTTCATCTCCACTTTAAAAAATATTTATTTATTTGAAAGGCAAAGCAATAGAGAAAGATAGAGAGATACTCCATCTTCTGATAGTCCACTCCCCAAATGCCTGCAAAAGCTGCGGCTGGGCCAGGCCAAGGCCGGGAGCCAGGAACTCCATTTGAGTGTCCGATGTGGGTGCCGGGAACCAAGTACTTACACCTTCATCTTCTGCCTTCTAGGCTGCACATTAGAAAAGACCCGGATTGGAAATGCAGGCAGGACTAGAAGCCAGGCGCTCTGAATGGGATGTGGGTGTCCCAAGTGGTGGCTTAGCCTGTTTGCCATCCATGCTCACTCTTACTCAATTTTAAATCAGGGATAAGAACATCTATTTTTTTAAAAAAGTAATAATTAAAAATTGTTGGGAATGAGCATTTGGTCTGTGGTTAAGATACTTGCATCCAACATTGGAGTACCAGGCTTTAATTCCCAGCTCAGGCACCTGACCCCAGCTTTCTACCAAGGCAGACGTGGGAGGCAGCAGTGATGCCTCAAGCAAAGAAGGCCTTGCTACCCCTGTAGGAGACCTTGGTTGCATACAGGGCTCAGAGCTTTGGTCCCAGCCTGAGCTGGCCTTTGTGGGCATTTGCACAATGAACCAACCGATGGGAGTTCTTTCTTTCTCTGTTTTTCAAATTAAAAAAAATTTTTTTTAATTGTTAAAAACAATTTTTTCAAGAATATTGTAGGAGTAAAATGATGTGCACAAAACCTCTTGCACATACTGTTCCTTCAAACATTTAGTAAACAGTAATTTCTTTCTAAGAGAGCAATTCTCAACCTTTTAGCAGCATGAACACTTTTTAAAATCTCAGGATAGTTATGCTCTCATGCCCTAACAAATACTCATATACATGATACAAACTTTTCATGGGATTTAGTGGGACCGCGGAGATACAAGAACTATCCAAAGGACATACCAGGAACTCAGACTAAGAATCCTTGCTCAAAAATAAATTCACTGTACAGAAAGAGCCCAGAATGACTTCAAAGATCAATTTGCTACTTGAATTACAAGCATCATAGATACAACTTGACCAGCTGATGCCCAAACATAAGAGGCATCTAAAGGACCATGAACAAATATCAAAGATCTGATCCCTCATTCATGGATGACATAGATCACACTCATGATTTACACATCACCTCTTTCAATTCGTCTAACAGGATAAAAATTATAATCCTCATATTAATGAGCCTCAAAGAGAAAAAAAAACTCAACCTGGGTACCCCCTCGTCTACCTTCCCAATGTCACTGGGCAGGGTTATAGGCTGCACCCCTACAGCGGGGCTCTGTCTGTACCTCAGGACAAGGCTTTTCCACTCATGTATGTGTCTTACCACTGCTTACCCGTACAAGAAAGATTCTTCTCAAAAGTAAACAAGACTCAAGTAAGGACTAAAACATATTACACATAAAATCATTTTAAGACCGTAACTCTTATGATGTTAAAAGTTTACTTTACAAAAATAGCCTATTTTTTAATACTGAGTAAAATTTAAATAAGTGTTGTAAAAAGAAACTTAGGAAATAAATGTACATTATATAAAACTGAAACACTTATTCTACGACCTATTCCACATCAATCATAAATATCAGCTTCAGCGTCTGAATGAACCCATTCTGAGTCCAAACCCAGTTTTATAACAACTGTCTCTTTCTCACCCTGCTTCAAGACTTACAAATCTTGATACAGTTAAATGTTCTAATACTTCAGAGAAAGAGCATTCTACAAGTGGTTAAAATTATTAGAAAAATTGTCAGCCTACAGTAGATAAGCTCAACACACAGTTGGCAATAATTCTGTAAAAATTTCAAGAGCACAAAAGCAAACTGACCTCTAATACATCAGAAGTGATAAGTTTCATAACACGATCAGATGTGTCCTTAAATTCTTCTGTAACTTCAGTTCGCTGAATTTTTTTCTTCATTCTATATGACAGCTATAAGATAACAATTGTCTTTTAAAATGGATGTCTTTAAGGGATTTTTTAAAGTGTAAAATATAAGCTAGCAAAAAATTGCCAGTCAGTAAATATAGATAAAATACAAGTGACTCTATGGGTTTTCCAAAGACTATGAGACTTCTAAGCTATCCCTTTAGATGCCATGCCACATACTTATAAATTCGGTTGAGATTCAGATTAGTTATAGGATTAGCCAGCCAATGGCAGAACCATAACTAGTACTAACCAGCGTCTCAACTGTCACAAGATTGAAGAAATAACAGATTTTATTTATAGCTTTAATAACAGTTTTATTAATAGTTTCAACTTTTCACTATCATATTGAAACTCACTGATCCTATCTCAGTGATCCCTCTGACGTTTGCATAAAAGCAGGAGCAAACACAAATGATACCAAATGTAATTTCCTCTCATAGCTATATGCTTAGTTTATGACATCCCAACACACACTGTTTTAAGGCAGATGCTGAATTTTGTTTGCAGGGAAAAATATAATCATAAAACATTTCCCCTTCTATTTTAAGACTGTTAAGTTGTGAACACTGTAATATTCTTTCTGTTTTCTGGAGACTGATCTGTTTAACTGAAACCAAACTGTTCATTTTGAAAAAACAATTTTAGGCAACTTACCAATTTGGGCATTGCTGTAAAGTGAAATGCTTTCTCTTGGCGTAGCTTCCGAAAAATGTAAGCTGCATCAAAATGTTGTGCATTTATCAAATCTTGCTGAAATTTTAAAACTTCATCCCAATCCCTTAGGGCAACTCTGATCTGCAACCAGTAAGAGGTTAAAAAATAAACATGATAAGAAATGTCAATCTTTTTCACAAATGTAATATAAAAGTTAGCATTTTTATTTTGAGCAATTTAAACTGAAAATACGGTATCTGGGGGAAAACAATTCACCAAACATTACCTTTTGTTTTGGTTGACACAACTGGGTGTTATAGAATCCATACAGCAGATATAAACCACCAACCCTGATGTGGAAGGTGTAGGGAGGTAAAAAGTATCGCCACGCCAAAGCTAACGCTTCTTTCGTAAACGTGTTCTTTTCTAAGTTTCTCATTTTGCCACTAGAAAACAAAAAGAAAATATGACTCACTAAGTAAGAAAGTGATGAACAAAAGCCAGAACAGGTATTTCTGAGGGTATTTTCAAAATTCCATGGAAAAATGGGTTATAAATATATTTGGATGCAAAATCGACTTTGAAATCCATACATACATTCCCTGAAGCCCCCTGAGATTTTTTTAAACAACAGTGTCCAATAACTGGATGAGGATTCCATACCTGATCCATTCATGATTCAAGCCCTGAGACATGTATGACCACCAGGTGAGTATCATGTGGCTTCCAGAAACCTGAGCTTTACTAGCCAGAGTGGAGAGTAAAGAGGAAAGGGTTTCAAAGTATGAATGGCTGGGTAGGTAGGTACTGAAAATATCTAACAAAAGAACCACGGTTATGTCACAGCAGCAAGAACTATGAATTTACTATGTAATGAAAGCTCCCCCTGCACTCTCGGGGATTTGACCCAAATCCTCCCTGTCTTGGGAAGCTGAGCAAAAAGTCTGAGAAACGTTACAATGTAATCTGCTGCAAAGCTCCTCTCCCCACCGAGGAGGAGCAGGTGCCACCACACTCCAGAAAGCTTTCTCAAAGCATCCAACAGAGCTAGTAGGCTCTCTTGGCAATCAAGTAACCAACGTCATAACCAGAAAATGTATTTGCCGTGAACATAATAATCTAAAACTGTTGCTGTGTCAAGTTAACCAAAAGCTCTGAAGATCAGCGAGAACGTAAAGAAATCAAAATAATCCTTCTTAAAACTGCATTTTAAAAAAGTGAAGGCCTCAGAAAAGTTGGCACAGCAGCCTTCTATCTAGCACACTTTTTAAAATGGATAATGGTAGCTTAAAACTTAACATTTTTATAAAGTATTATAATACTGTTTTTTGGATAACTAAAATAACAATTATTGTTGAATGCTAAAAAAAGGGAAGGTGCATTTTTTTTGCATGTTTTAGGCAGTTTCTATACAAGACTTGAAATTAGTGCATAAAAAAAATTTATGTTTTAACCTTGGCTAAGATCTTTTTTTTGGGCAGGCAGAGTTAGCGAGAGAGAGACAGAAAAAGGTCTTCCTTCCGTTGGTTCACTCCCCAAATGGTCACCAGGGCCGGCGCATTGTGCTGGCCGGAAACCAGGAGCCAGGTGCTTCCTCCTGGTTTCCCATGCGGGTACAGGGCCCAAGCACTTGGGCCATCCTCCACTGCACTCCCAGGCCACAGCAGAGCTGGACTGGAAGAGAGGCAACCGGGACAGAACCGGCGCCCCGACTGGGACTAGAACCCGGGGTGCTGGCGCCACAGGCGGAGGATTAGCCTAGTGAGCCACGGCGCCGGCCTGGCTCAGATTTCTCCAAGTGTATTATTTAACAGATAAAACTGATTCTTACTCATGCATTACACAAATATAAAGAGTCAGGTTTTCCCTATTAGCTAAAAATCGGGACAGCCCTAGGAAAAATTTCCTGACATACCTCGTTTCCGTAGAGGGGGCTCAGAGAAAGATCAAGGCTTGGGCTGGTAGCTTGCATCTCTGCTCCACCACCTACCAGTTGTGTAACCTCGGAGAAATTACTGTAACTTCCTACACCTCACTTTTCTCATCTATAAAACAGGGATACACATACCTCCTTTTAAGAGGTGTGCTATGGATTGAATAAATTAAGCTATAAATGCATGGCATTTTTACTCATTAAAAAACACAACAACTTGTTGCCCAGGATGTACAATACACGTGCCCTATTTTGATTTATTTCGAGGAAAGAAAAAAAGAGAGCTTTTATATCTTATGCAGCAGAACGATTTTAATCACGAAGTCTGCCGTTTACTCAGACTCTTTAACATCGTATACGTTACGCTAAGGGGAACAGCAGTCTGGAAGCGCCTGGAAGACTGGGACGTAACCACGACGCACGGCGAGGGCGCACCTGCAGCACCTGGGGAGAGGCCTCCCTGCCCCGCACCAGGGACCCCTGCTCGGACCCCCGGCCTCAGCTCCGACCCCTGCCCTCAGCTCCGACCCCTGCCCTCAGCTCCGACCCCCGGCCTCAGCTCCGACCCCCGGCCTCAGCTCCGACCCCCGGCCTCAGCTCCGACCCCCGGCCCTCAGCTCCGACCCCCGGCCCTCAGCTCCGACCCCCGGCCCTCAGCTCCGACCCCCGGCCCTCAGCTCCGACCCCCGGCCCTCAGCTCCGACCCCCGCCCTCAGCTCGGACCCCCGCCCTCAGCTCGGACCCCCCGCCCTCAGCTCCGACGCGCGGCCTCAGGTCGGACCCCTGCCCTCAGCTCCGACCCCCGGCCTCAGCTCGGACCCCTGCCCTCAGCTCCGACGCCCGGCCTCAGGTCGGACCCCTGCCCTCAGCTCCGACGCCCGGCCTCAGCTCGGACCCCTGCCCTCAGCTCCGACCCCCGGCCTCAGCTCCGACCCCTGCCCTCAGCTCAGACCCTGGCCTCCGCGTCCCTCGCGACCACAGGCCCCTACGGGGGGTGACACCGCAGGGCTCGGGGTGCCACGGGGCTGGGGGCGCGCACCGGGAGAGTGGGGCGCTCGGACCTGGGAGACGGAGGCCAAGGGAACCCCTTTCCACACCGCCCGCGGGCCACAAACACCTACGAGAAGACGGTCGCAAACTTCATGTTCCTCCAGAGCTCCGCGAAGCCCTCGAAGCCCACGCTGTTCGTCTCCTGGAAGCGGCTGAGCAGCACCTCGCAGTCCGTCTGCAGACCCGGAGGCGTCCCCATGGCCATGGCGCAAGGAAGCTGCGACACTCACGGACCCGCGCCGAGCAGTCGCCCGGGAAACCGACGCCGGACGCCCCGCCCCCGGCGGCGTGACGCGACGGCGCTCCCGAGCGTATTGGTCGACTCCTTTCGCTCCGCCTTCATCCGGGCTAGTGCCGGAGGGCGCATGGTGCTTCTGCGCCTGCGCGAGCGCCTATCGCTCCGTTTCCGGTTGGAGTCTTTAAAAACGAGCCGATTAATATCTTGGGAGAAGTTTACCCTTCTGTAATGCCGTCAGCCTTTGAGGGATTTTTTATTTACCCACCTCCCAGTTTATGTAAATTGTGTGCTGTCGTACCAATTCCTCTAGCCGTCATGTAGCGTTAGAATATCCCATCAGATATATGCATAGAGGGAGACTAGCTGAAAACACGTAAAAGAAAATACCCTTCTGTGAGTGTGATCACGTTCTTGGGTAGAAATCCCAACTGAGCCTTGTGCGGACATGATGAAAGACTGCTTCCTGGCCTTGGTGTCTCGGCTCTGTTCATGAAGCCCGCTCAGTAAGATTAATGTTTTTATACAGTTTTTTGGTTAATTTTAATATTTATTTGTAAGAGTGATCTTCCATCCACTGGTTCACTCCCCAGGTGACTGACGCCAGGAGCCTGGAACAACTTCTGGGTATTCCACGTGGGTGGCAGGGTCCCAAGTTCTTGAGTCATATTTTACTGCCTACCTAGGCACATTAGCAGGGAGCTAGATGGGAAGTGGAATAGCTGGGATTTGAACCAGTGTGCTGATATGGCTGCATAACCTGCTATGCCACAATGCCAGCCCCTGAAAACAGTTTTGAATTTACATTTGTTCACTATTGGGAGAAATCTGTTTTGCACAGATGAGCAGTGCTAAGATTTAGGTGAGTGGCAAAGCATTGTTCCAAGGTACAAATGGAACCCTAGTACAAGGTTATAGCCTTTGTCTGCCCAGCTGTATTTGAAGAGAGAATATATTGAGGGGGAATGAGGTCTCTTGGTTATGTTTTTCTTTCCTTTTTTTTTTTTTTAAATTTTTTTTTATTTTGACAGATAGAGTTAGACAGTGAGAGAGACAGAGAGAAAGGTCTTCCTTCCATTGGTTCACTCCCAAATGGCCGCCAGGGTGCGCCTATCCAAAGCCAGGAGCCAGGTGCTTCCTCCTGGTCTCCCATGTGGGTGCAGGGCCCAAGCACTTGGGCCATCCTCCACTGCCTTCCCGGGCCACAGCAGAGAGCTGAACTGGAAGAGGAGCAACCGGGACTAGAACCTGGCACCCATATGGGATGCTGGCACCGCAGGCAGAGGATTAGCCAAGTAAGCCACGGTGCTGACTCTCTCTTGGTTATGTTTTTCAATCTCTTTCAGTCTTAATTTCCGTTTTGCTACTATTAGGATTATAATTATTATTGCTTCTAGTTGGTGTGAGAATTGAACTGAGATGAATGTAAATAGTGCTGAGTGTGGTATATGGCACACAGTAGACTCTTTGTAAGTATTATTTGGTTCCCCCTATGCCTAATTAATCTCTTCTATGTCAGCATTGAAAGAGGGATCAGATTTTCAATGACTCAAATGTTTCTTTAGATACTCCCATGTGTAGAGGGTTAAACTGGTCGGGTTTTACCTATGGTGTTTGTAATTCAGGAGGCAAATTGCGTTTCAGAAGTTCTCTGGGTGCGAGCATTGTGTGCAGCAGGGTAAGCTGCTCCTTGCAGCATCATCTGTTGGAGAACTCAGCTTCTCATCCGGCCCACTGCTCATGTGCCTGGGAAGGCAGTAGAAAATGGCCCAAGTCTTTGCGTCCCTTCACCCCTGTGGGAGACCAGCGTGGTGTTACTGGCTCCTGGCTTCATCCTGGTCCTGACCTGGCTGTTGGAGATATTTGGGGAGTGAAGTAGCAGATGGAAGATCTCTCTGTCATTCTATCTTTCAAATAAATTATATTTTAAAAAATTACTCTGGGTCTTTCCTGTAAAGCTTTATTTTTGATCAAAGATGATTTTTAATTAATTAATTAATTTGAAAGGTTACAGAAAGAGGTCTTCCATCCACTGTTTGACTCCCCAGATAGCTATAATGATGAGGGCTGGGCTAGGCCAAGCCAAAGTCAGGAGCTTGGAACTTCATCCAGGTCTCCCACCATGGATTGCAGGGGCCCAAGCACTTGGGCGATCTTATACTGCTTTCCCAGGCCTTAGCAGAGAGCCGGTTCAAAAGTGGAACAGCTGGGACTTGAACTGGCACTCATATGGGATGCTGATGTCACAGACAATGGCTTAATTTGCTGTACCATACATTAGTTGACTAATTTTGTAGAAAATACTGATTTTTTTCCAATATATCTTCTAAAGCCTTATTATTTTAACCTTTTGTTTCTATGACATGTTGAATTAACGTTTCTTCTCTTATTCATTGTGTGTGTCGGCAAACAGGGAGGGAAGTGTAGAGAGTGGTGCTGGGGTGAGGCACTAGGAACCCCTCTTTTATGGTGATTGGAAAGTTGGGTGAGAGGGTCCGTCTGTGCCTAATTCCTGGGAGCCTCTGGAGTGGAGGGCCGTTTTGCAGAGGTGAGCATGAGCTTTCTTGGCTGCATCCCTCGGCTCTGTGCACGAATGTGTTGATCATGTTGCAGGGCAGCGTAGTTCAGTGGCTCTGTTTCTGTGGAGCTAACATTTAGAGACCTTCCCTCACTATTCAGCTTTGCCACTCATTAGCTATGGGGTGGCATTTTACCCTACAGACGACTTTATTAATTTAAGAGACAGATGGATCTCCCTTCTACTTGTTTACTCCTCAAATGGCTGTGTTAGCTGAGGCTGGCTTATATTGGTTTTAAATGTTTACACTTTTGTGCTTTGTAACTTTTTTTTTTTTTTTTTTTGCTAACTTGCCTTTTTTTAAATTTTTTTGACAGGCAGAGTGGACAGTGTGAGAGAGAGACAGACAGAAAGGTCTTCCTTTGCCGTTGGTTCACCCTCCAATGGCCGCCGCAGCTGGCGCACCGTGCTGATCCGATGGCAGGAGCCAGGTGCTTCTCTTGGTCTCCCATGGGGTGCAGGGCCCAAGCACTTGGGCCATCCTCCACTGCACTCCCAGGCCACAGCAGAGAGCTGGCCTGGAAGAGGGGCAACCGGGACAGAATCCGGCGCCCCGACCAGGACTAGAACCTGGTGTGCCGGCGCCGCAAGGCGGAGGATTAGCCTATTGAGCCGCGGCACCGGCCTACTTTCTTTTTTTGATTGCTAAGAATTTTTCCTGTTCTTTACATGTTTCTTTCTTTAAAAAAAAAAAAATCCTCTCCTCCCCTTTCAGGAAGGCAGTATCTTTTCTCTTTAAGGATATTAGCAAGTTTCCTCTCATTCCCATCCAGCACCTTTCCTTCTTTTTCTTTAGATCTCCTTTATCTTATTGTCTTTTCCCTAAATGGTTGAAGAGCCTCAGATGTCTGTTCATATTTAAGAGAGGCCAGGGGCTGGCGCTGTGGCAGGTAGGTTAATCCTGTTCCTTCGGCACTGGCATGGGATGCCGGTTCTAATCCCGGCTGCTCCTCTTCCGATCCAGCTCTCTGCTAATGGCCTGGGATAGCAGTAGAAGATGGCCCAAGTGCTTGGGCTCTTGCATCTGAGTGGGAGACCCAGATGAAGCTCCTGGCTCCTGGCTTCAGATCAGCCCAGCTCCACCTGTTGTGGTCTTTTGGGGAGTGAACCAGCGGATGGAAAATCTCTCTCTCTCTCTCTCTCCTTCTCAGTGTCTGTTAATATACCTCTCAAATAAATAAATAAAATCTTTGAAAAGAAAAAAAAAAAGAGGCCACAGAAAACACAGCTGTTTAAACCACCACAATTCATTTTCTTAGCTCTGGTCATTTTTAGCAGACAGCAGTTTTCTACTCTGTGGTGCTGTCAGTGTTCTGGGGCTTGCGGGGGCTGGTGGTGGTGGGGATCTGTAAGAGGCTCCCGTTCTTCATGCAGCTGTCACCCAGCCCCTCTTTTCAGTGAGAGGGCCGTCTCTCTCCTCAGTTAACAGCAGTTTCCTGCAGCCTCGCTGGTGTGACTCTGCAGAGCGCAGCCCTCTGTCTTCTGCAGGAGGAGGTTAGTCGCCTGGCTGTGAGGCTGCAGAGCAGGGCGGTTTTGGCCCTGTGGAATCTCAGTGCGTTTCCCCAGGTTTTGGCACTATCCGATGACTGTGACTCCTGACTCCTGATCTGCTTGCGTTGTCCTGGCTTCTGCTGCGCAGGTTGTTAGGTTTCAGCCTCCTCCATTCTGTTCCACAATTGCTCGTTTTTCCACTCTCTTGTCTTCCAAAATTTTGTTGTTTATAGTTGTGCTGTTTGCTGTTATCTCTGTGGGTTTAGATGCATGTTTTTTTCTTCTTGTTTGTGTTTTACGTTTTACTTTTTTTGAAAGACAGAAAGAGCAGAAGCAGACAGAGAGATCTCCCATCCTGTGTTTCAGTCCCCAAATGCAAGTAACAACCAGAACTGGGACCAGGAGCCTGGAATTCAATCTGGTTTCCCATATGGGTTACACTTGAGCCATCACCTGCTGCCTTCCAGGATCCAGGATGTGCATTAGCAGGAAGCTGGATTTGGAAGCAGAGCTGGGACTGAAACCCAGACAGTCTGGTGTGGGATAAGATCCCAAGTGATGTCTTAGCTACTGTGCCAAGTGTGCGCCTGGCTTTATTCATTTTTCTCTTACTTTAAAGATTTTTTTTAGTTGAAAGGCAGAGAAATATACAGACAGATCTTCCATAGAGTGTTTTACCCCTCAACTGACTGCAGAAACCAGGCTGGGCCAGGCCAAAATTAGGAGCCTGGAACTCAGTCTGAGTCTTCCATGTGGATGGCAGGGACTGAAGTACTTGAGCCGTCATCTGCTGCCTCCCAGAGTTAACCATCAGCAGGAAGCTGACTTGGAAGTAGAGTAACTGAGACTTGAACCAGGCACTCTGCTGCCAAATGTGGGCCTCCCAAACGATGTCTTAACTGTTGTTGACTTCCATCCCCTTTCTCGTTTTTGATGCCAAGCCCATGGAAGAGAAAAATTGTGTGTGTGTAGCCTGCTCATTTCTGAGGTGTTACATGCCCTGCAGGGTGGGGTGTGACTTTGGCCTTCTTTCCAATGGGCACAGACTCTGAAGGGCCTGGTTCTGTTCCCGCAAGGCTCCCTGAGGAGCACGGTGTGAGTGACGGTGCAGGCAGTGAAGAGCATCATCTACCACAGGCAGGCCAGGGCACCAGAGCTGCAGCATTGCCAAGCAGCCATGCCCCTCCTCGGTGATGGACGGAGCCCTTTGTGAATTATGCAGGCTCTATCTGTCAAATAAATAAGTTAGTAAGCAGGATTTAGGATGTGTGAGATCACTGTCTCAATAGATTGCCAGTAAGATTGAGATCTTACTATCCCCATGGAGATAGCAAGTTTTCAACTGCAAAGTCATTTTAGAGAAAAAATTCATATATAAGAAGACATCAAAAAGTTCTTGGAAAAGTAGAATTACAACATGAGTTGGGAGGCTGGCATTGTGATATCCTGGGTAAGCTGCTGCCTGCTGTGCTGGCATCCTTACTGGAGTGCAGGTTTGAGTAAAGTTGCTCTGCTTCTGATCCACCTCCCGGCTATGCACCTGGGAAAGCAGTGGATGACAGCTGGAGTGTTTGGGCCCCTACCACCCATGTAGGAGACACCAGTGGCTCCTGGCTTTGGCCTGGCCCAGTTTCAGCCATTGTAGCCATCTGGGACATGAACCAGTGGATGGAAGACCTGTTTCTCTCTCTGTCATCCTACCTTTCAAACAACTAACAAAATTTTTTTTAAAAGAAAAATTGGCTCATGTAATTGGGTTCCCACCACCCATGTGGAAGACTTGGGTTGAGTTGCCAGCTCCTGGCTTTAGCCTAGCCCATTCTCAGCTGTTCTGGCATGTTGAGTGAACCAACAGATGAGAGCTGTCTTTCTCTGTCTCTCAAATAAGTAAATAGCTATTTTTAAAAGATGTTTATTTTGATGCAAAAATATTTGAAATCTGTGCATGAGATCTTCATAATTCACCTTTAATATGAATTTATTGCAGACACCTCATACATCTGTCAAGCCTAAGATTTCTTTGGAGCTGGCACTGTGGTGTAGTAGGTAAAGCTACTGCCTATGGTGCCAGCATCCCATATAGGTGCCAGTTGGAGTCCCGGCTGCTGCACTTTTGATCTAGTTCCCTGATAATGGCCTGGGAAAAGCACAAGAAACTGACCCAAATCCCTGGGCCCATGCCACCCATGTGGGAGACCCAGACAAACCTCCTCACTTAGCTCTGGTCCAGCTCTGGCTGCTGTGGCCATTTGGGGAGTGAACCAATGAATGGATGATTTCTCTCTCTTTCTCTCTCTCTTTGAAGATTTATTTATTTATTTTAAAGAGTTACACAGAGAAAGACGGAGAGGTAGAAAGAGAGAGAGAGAGAGAGAGAAAGAGAAAGAGAGAGAGAGAGGTCTTCCATCCACTGGTTCACTCACTAATTGGCCACAATGGCCGGAGCTGCGCCAATCTGAAGCCAGGAGCCAGGAGCTTCCTCTGGGTCTTCCCAGGTGGGTGCAGGGGCCCAAGGACTTGGGCCATCCTCTACTGCTTACCCAGGCCACAGCAGAGAGCTGGATCAGAAGTGCAGTAGCTAGGACTTGGACTGGCACCCATATGGGATACTGGCACTGCAGGTGGTGGCATTACCCGCTATGCCACAGTTCTGGCCCCGATTTCTCTCTCTTTCACTCTCCTTTTTCTTTCTGTAGCTCTACCTTTCAAATAAAAATTAAAAAAAAATCTTTAAAAAACGTTTCTTGTTGGATCTTTGCTATGAGGTCATTCTTGTGTCTGTTAGCAGTTGAACATCGCTGTAGTGTAAGTGTATATTAATTAAATATTATATTTTAGTTATATTTGGTGAGTTGTTTTTATAGACCTGACAGCTTTCTTTATGTTTTCAATGTTCACCATACAAGAAGAAGAGAAAACATTGAACAAGCAGTCTGTTGTGGAGTTTTAAATTTTGAATTTTCTGATACAGGAGATTTATTTACTTTTTATATATTGAAGAGGAAGACTGCCAGTATTAAAAATTATTCCTCTGGGAAACTGCGGGTTATTTCTTTGAAATGGCAGTAACTTAACACCATTCTAGAGTTAAAGTGTGAAAAATTAGAGTAAGAATTTTCTCTTACATTCTATTTTCAGGCACAGGAACTGTGGTGTAGGTGAAGCCTCCTCCTCTGGCACCGACATCCTCTATGGGCACTGGTTTGAGTCCCAGCTGCTCTACTTCTGATCCAGCTCCCTGCTAATGCACCCGGGAAAACAGCAGAAGATGGCCTGATTGGGAAAACAGCAGAAGATGGCCTGAGTTTTTGGGCCCTTGCACCCATGTGGGAGTCCTGGAAGATGCTTCTGGCTCCTGGCTTTGGATTGTTCTACCCCTGGCCATTGCAGCCATTTGGGGAGAGAACCAGTGGATGGAAGACCTTTCTCTCTGTCCCCCCGCTCTCTGTAACTCCTCAAATAAATAAATAAAATCTTTTTTTTTAACTTTTATTTAGTAAATATAAATTTCCAAAGTACAGTTTATGGATTACAATGGCTCCCCCCCCATAACTTCCTTCCCACTCACAACCCTCCCATCTCCCGCTTCCTCTCCCATCCCATTCACATCAAGATTCATTTTCAATTATCTTTATATACAGAAGATCAATTTAGTATATATTAAGTAAAAATTTCATCAGTTTGCACCCACATAGAACATAAAGTGTAAAATACTGTTTCAGTACTAGTTATAGCATTAATTCACATTGAACAACACATTAAGGACAGAGATCCTACATGAGGAGTAAGTGCACAGTGACTCCTGTTGTTGACTTAACAATTTGACACTCTTGTTTAAGGCATCAGTAATCTCCCTAGGCTCTAGTCATGAGTTGCCAAGGCTATGGAAGCCTTTTGAGTTTGCCGACTTTGATCTTATTTAGACAAGGTCATAGTCAAAGTGGAAGTTCTCTTCTCCCTTCAGAGAAAGGTACCTCCTTCTTTGATGGCCTGTTCTTTCTTTATACTGGGATCTCACTTGCAGAGATCTTTCATTTAGGTCCTTTTTTTTTTTTTTTTTTTTGGCCAGAGTGTCTTGGCTTTCCATGCCTAAAATACTCTCATGGGCTTTCTAGCTGGATCCAAATGCCTTAAGGGCTGATTCTGAGGCCAGAGTGCTGTTTAGGACATCTGCCATTCTATGAGTCTGCTGTGTATCCCGCTTCCCATGTTGGATCGTTCTCTTCCTTTTTTATTCTATCAGTTAGTATTAGCAGACGCTGGTCTTGTTTATGTGATCCATTTGACTCTTAAATCTATCATTATGATCTATTGTGACCCGAAATTGATCACTTGGACTAGTGAGATGGCATTGGTACATACAACCTTGATGGGATTGTATTGGAATCCCCTGGCACATTTCTAACTCCACCATTCGGAGCAAGTCAGCTTGAGCATGTCCCAAATTGTACATCTCCTCCCTTTCTTATTCCCACTCTTACATTTAACAGAGATCACTTTTCAGTTAAATTTCAACACCTAAGAATAATTGTGTGTTAATTATAGAGTTCAACCAATAGTATTAAGTAGAACAAAAAAAATACTAAAAGGGATAAAGTATCAAATTGTTCATCAACAGTTGGGACAAGGGCTGATCAAGTCACTGTTTCTCATAGTGTCCCTTTCACTTCAACAGGTTTCCTTTTTTATGGTTGGTTAGTTGTCACCAATCAGGGAGAACATATGATATTTGTCCCTTTGGGACTGGCTTATTTCACTCAGCATAATGTTTTCCAGATCCCTCCATTTTGTTGCAAATGACCGGATTTCATTTTTTTTTTTAACTGCTGTATGGTATTCTATAGAGTACATGTCCCATAATTTCTTTATCCAGTCTACTGTTGATGGGCATTTGGGTTGATTCCAGGTTCTAGCTATTGTGAATTGAGCTGCAATAAACATTAAGGTGCAGACAGCTTTTTTGTTTGCCAATTTAATTTTCTTTGGGTAAATTCCAAGGAGTGGGATGGCTGGGTTGAATGGTAGGGTTATATTCAGGTTTCTGAGGAGTCTCCAGACTGACTTCCATAGTGGCTTTACCAGTTTGTATTCCCACCAACAGTGGGTTAGTGTCCCTTTTTCCCCACATCCTCGCCAGCATCTGTTGTTGGTAGATTTCTGAATGTGAGCCATTCTAAGCGGGGCGAGGTGAAACCTCATTGTGTGTGTGTGTGTGTGTTTTTTTTTTTTTTTGACAGGCAGAGTGGACAGTGAGAGAGAGAGTGAGACAGAGAGAAAGGTCTTCCTTTTGCCGTTGGTTCACCCTCCAATGGCCGCCGCGGCTGGTGCACGCTGCGGCCGGCGCACCGCGCTGATCTGAAGGCAGGAGCCAGGTACTTATCCTGGTCTCCCATGGGGTGCAGGGCCCAAGCACTTGGGCCATCCTCCACTGCACTCCCTGGCTACAGCAGAGAGCTGGCTTGGAAGAGGGGCAACCGGGACAGAATCCGGCGCCCCGACCGGGACTAGAACCCGGTGTGCCGGCGCCACAAGGCGGAGGATTAGCCTAGTGAGCCACGGTGCCGGCTGCTCATTGTGGTTTTGAGTTGCATTTCCCTGATTACTAGTGATCCTGAACATTGTTTCATGTGTCTGTTGGCCATTTGGATTTCCTCTTTTGAAAAATGTCTATTGAGGTCCCTGGCCCATCTCTTAAGTGGGTTTTTTGTTTTGTTGTTGTGGAGTTTCTTGATCTCTTTGTAGATTCTGGTTATTAATCCTTTATCTTTAGCATAGTTTGCAAATATTTTTTTCCCCATTCTGTTGGTTGCCTCTTCATTTTCCTGACTGTTTCTTTTGCAGTACAGAAACTTCTCAATTTGATGCAATCCCAAATGTTAATTTTGGCTTTGACTACCTGTGCTTCCGGGGTTTTTTCCACGAAGTTTTTGCCGGTATCTATATCTTGCAGGGTTTTTCCAATGTTCTCTAATAATTTGATGGTGTCGGGTTGTAGATTTATGTCTTTAATCCATGTTGAGTGGATTTTTGTGTAAGGTGAAAGGTAGGGGTCTTGCTTCATGCTTCTGCACATAGAAATCCAATTTTCCCAGCACCATTTATTGAATAGACTGTCCTTACTCCAGGGATTGGTTTTGGATCCTTGATCAAATATAAGTTGGCTGTAGATGTTTGGATTGATTTCTGGTGTTTCTATTATGTTCCATTGGTCTATCCATCTGTTTCTGTACCAGTACCATGCTGTTTTGATTACAACTGCCCTGTATTATGTCCTGAAATCTGGTATTGTGATGCCTCCAGCTTTGTTTTTGTTGTACAAAATTGCTTTAGCTATTCGAGGTCTCCTGTGTCTCCATATGAATTTCAGCATCATTTTTTCCAGATCTGAGAAGAATGTCTTTGGTATCTTGATTGGTATCGCATTGAATATATAAATTGCTTTTGGGAGAATGGACATTTTGACGATATTGATTCTTCCAATCCATGAGAATGGAAGATTTTTCCATTTTTTGGTATCTTCTATTTCTTTCTTTAAGATTTTGTAATTTTCATCGTAGAGATCCTTAACGTCCTTGGTTAAGTTTATTCCAAGGTATTTTATTGTTTTTGTGGCTATTGTGAATGGGATTGATCTTAGAAGTTCTTTCTCAGCCGTGGCATTGCCTGTGTATACAAAGCCTATTGATTTTTGTGCATTGATTTTATATCCTGCTACTTTGCCAAGCTCTTCTATGAGTTCCAATAGTCTCTTAGTAGAGTTCTTTGGGTCCCCTAAATAAAGAATCATATCATTTGCAAAGAGGGATAGTTTGAGTTCTTCCTTACCAATTTGTATCCCTTTAATTTCTTTTTTTGCCTAATAGCTCTGGCTAAAACTTCGAGAACTATATTGAATAGCAGTGGTGAGAGTGGGCATCCCTGTCTGGTACCAGATCTCAGTGGAAATGCTTCCAACTTTTCCCCATTCAATAGGATGCTGGCCGTGGGTTTTTCATAAATTGCTTTGATTGTATTGAGGAATGTTCCTTCTATACCCAGTTTGCTTAGAGTTTTCATCATGAAAGGGTGTTGTATTTTATCAAATGCTTTCTCTGAATCAATTGAGATAATCATATGGTTTTTCTTCTGCAGTCTGTTAATGTGGTGTATCACATTGATTGATTTGCGAACATTGATGGCGTTGGCATCCGATATGGGTGCTGGTTCTAGTCTTGGCTGCTCCTCTTCCAGTCCAGCTCTCTGCTGTGGACCGGGAAGGCAGTGGAGGATGGCCCAAGCACTTGGGCCCCTGCACCCGCTTGGGAGACCAGGAGAAAGCACCTGGCTCCTGGCTTTGGATCTGCGTAGTTCTGGCCATAGTGGCCATTTGGGGAGTGAACCAACGGAAGGAAGTCCTTTCTCTCTATCTCTCTCTCTCTCACTGTCTAACTCTTATCTGTCAAATAAATAAAAAAATTAAAAGAATAATTGGTATTCACAGAAAAAAAACCCTAAAGCTTCATAAATGCGTCTTTCTATTAGTTTTTCTTTCCAGACATTTAAATTGTGATTGCTTGAGCCACGATGTTATGACTGCTACTACCGTCAGATCTCCATTCCACATGTTTGCCTCAAGCTCTCTTACTATATGCTGCTTTTCAGCAATGTTCATATAATTCAGGGATTCCAGTCTGAGTTGGAGATGCAATCCAAATCAGCCAGTGTCTGTGATTAAATGTGTGGTATCACTGCAAATAGTCTTTTATAATTAAAATACTCTTTGACCCAAATAAAGCTTAGTACTCTTGCTATTCTTAACTGCTAAAAGCAATGCACTCCTCTGACCTCAAGCATTTCTGGTAATAAGTGAGATAGTATTCCTGATGTGAACATTGGGCAGAACTTACGTTTGTGGAAAACTGGAGGTATAGATGCAGTATTGCCATTTGTATACCAGGTTATTTGCTGGAACTTGTCTGGGGTTTGTACGACTAACACAGTGAGTTGTGCTCTGTTTCTCCATACCACTGCACATAGAATACACGGTGTCATTTCACTTGGACAAATAGAAACTACCTCTGGGTGGTGTGAGCCTTGCTCACATTCTCAGAGTTAGTAAGTGAGGCCTCTGGGCTGTGCACGCAGGGCTTCAGCCCATACTCTCAGTGTCTTCTTAGATAAGCCGGTAGGAAAGGATATCCAGGGAGTACTTTTGATTGCAAGCAGTAAAACCCACTTCACAATGGCTTAAACAATAAAGTGGATTTTAACACCAATTGAGTCCCACTGTAGTGTTGCTCTGACTTGGGTGATACCTCACTTTGATGATGGCTTCATATACCCTTGTCTATGACACTTTTTAGGAGCATAGGGAACAGGTTATGAGCTGAGTTCCAACACACTAGGCAAGGATCAGCTCTGCAATCAAACCTGTCTGAGAATGTAGTCTCAGGTCAGTTACACTGGCTCTACTTAATTCATTTGTCACTCTTTCCAACAATATTGCATTGACC